AACCAGTTCGGTGATTAAATCACGTAGCAATGAGCATCAAATGCAAACCAGGCGCTACGGCCGCATGAAGCGACTGTAATATTATAGCATATTTATATCCGATTTTTTAAGTTGACGCACCTACAAAGACAAACTGTACACCTCCAAATCCAGTGGTTTCGGAGTGATAGCGCCCGGTTGTATAACCAGTGACCGACTACAAAAATCGAACAATTGAGAACGCCATTCAACAAGACGTCGTTTGAAGTTTCACTACTAACTCAGCCCATAATTCTAGTGTTGAGACAATCACAGGGTTAAAGTTGCACGACATTCTATGCATTATAATCAGCAACAATGGTGGCAACCTTTTCACCGTCTTCTCACTGGTTTAGCAATAAGGAATGATTAAGGCTATTCATTGGTGTCCGCGTCTACTTTTACGAATCGGGACACGTTTATTACTGCAACAGTACCAGCGGACTAAAACGCACTGAAATTTGTAAAAGAAATTAAGGTAGGCCGTCAAGGAAAAATTACAGGAGCAAGTATTACATTCTAGAGTTAAAGGCTGCAAATCACGCATGAAACAATATACTTTCCGACATGCGTGGTTGATTTAGCACCGTCTGGCGATAATTCGCACTGAATTCATAGAGCATCAATGCGAAACAGAAGAGAGAAACAAATAAATAAACAAACTGAACAAACAGCGCAAATTCATTCCCTCCATATCTTTGGCATCCAACCCTCACGAAGGTTTCTTATTACAGCAACTGAAACGACACATTTGTAACATAAATCAAGGCCAAGAAGTGGCAATAGGAGTAGAGGTTCCACTGACAATTGGGATGCTTAAACAGAGCCTGATCACCGATGGTCAGCAAGAGGTTAATCCAACCTCATTCATGACAATTTACGTCCCTACACATGGGGAGAACTTGGACTAACAATACTCTACGTGGAATAGTCTTAGCATACTTCGCCGTCAAGTGCTTATCTAGTGCCTATCCAAATCCCATACAGCAGTAGCATTGATAGTAGTAGTGGATATGGTGGTGGTAATAGTAGTAGTAACGATTGTATTGGTAGAGGATGAGGCAGAATGAGGAGGAAGAGAAGATGGAGGAGGAGGGAGTAATGGAGAAACATCTGCTGCCCATTTTCCAGCTGTGCTCACATTTGCGCTCGTCGTCTGAGACACCCTGTTGGACGGCTCCGTAGATACGTGCGTGTGTGCGTTCGCTCAGTGGTGGGTATCTGCAGCACGCGATAACACATAACAGCTGCCAGCTCTCGCCCCTCCCCAACCCCTTCTTCCCTCATCCACAAATGCTACTACTATTGTTGTTACTGCTCCTGCAATGCCCGCTGTGGCGTGGCGTAGAGGGCCGGGGGGATGCACAGATGTATGTGTGAGAGCATAATATTTACCCCACAGCAGCAGCGTTGACGCCTGCCTGCCTACCCTCTAAGAGTATATGCATGCGTGCATGTTCGCGGCAAATCAAAGAAGGCGAAGGAGAGGAAGTAGCGGCAGCAACATGTGCCACACACGAGCACGAAACGGAATACGAGGATATTTATTGTTAACTAAACATGCAGGGTGGGATGGTGACAAATGTCATTCGCTTAAAAAAAAAAGATTTAAACGTCAGTACATAAAGAGATGTTGACAGTAAAGTTAGTAAAACCGCAATGATCCCATTTACGACAAATTAAACAATGATAATGCATCTAATTCTTCTGACCAGATTAACAGATGAAGTAAGCTAGGATAAAAGGTATGTCGAATAAGGTGTTCACTAAATTATACGGGCCAAGCAATACAAAAGAAAAATGAAAATCCAGTTGTATACTTGGATACATTTCAGTCGTTTTTACCTTACTACTATAAAGTTTTCAGTAAGCGGACACAAGTTGCAATGTCGAAATCCAAAAACACGCCTAATTTGAAACAAGTCCACCTTATAGTTCACGATTGCGGTGTTTCATTACGATAATGGGACTGTGACCAAATAAGTAATGACAAATGTTTAGCAGCTAAGAATAAGCTGACACTAAAGAGCTTCAGTACTTCGACCATTCATTCAAGTGCGTTACCAGTTCGTTAAAAAATCTTACGTACATGGGATTGCACCTGTTTTTGTTTGTTAATCACTTTGGAATTTCAATACGGAGTGTGCAAAAAAAGACAAAGACAAGACCAACGTTACCGAACCGTCTCCTACCATACTTCAAGTCTTCGCTGAACTCGACTTTTTAATTTCCGCAAAAGCTTAGATATTAACTTATCCTGCCCAACAATATGACAGCCGAGTTCGACCTAAGAGAAATCTCGATTTAAAGAACCGCATGTGAATCACGGTAAGCCTCGTAATTGACAGTGCACTTAGTTAACAAAAACTAAATTTATGCACAAGTTTGCGAATCGTTCCGCCTATTGTGAATTACAAACGACGAATCAATGGAAACAAACATGATCTTCAAGCAAAGGCAAGCATACGATAAACAATGTGGGGTAGCATATTTGCATAGTATATAAAATAAGAGGGAAGTAGGATGAAAATCCATGAGGTTGGATTGTGATGAACCAAATGATTTGCAATGTGCCATCACCGCAGGTCACGTGGAACGGAGGAGGGGGAAGCCACGTCACCGGCTGTACCAAAGCTACCCGACCGAGAGGCAGCCAGTGCGGACTCAAGAAGAGAGAGGCGTTTACGAAGTAGACCCAACTCTGTCTCCGCCATGTTAAGGTCGCAGCGGGCTCGCGCTAGTTCGGCGGATAACGCACGAGACTTAGCGCGTTCGCATACTGCTTCAGCGCGCGCCACCAATGCTACAGAGCGCCAGTGGCGCAACTGCTCAGCCACAGTCTCCAATGCAACCTCAGATGCACCCAAAACATAGCTGTTTCTGGCGGGTGAAGAGGAACCTGTCTTTGGCATCTGTTACGGGTAAAGACACCGATAAGTGGTATATAAGGAATTGCAAAAATACCCTCATTAATTAAAAACAACGCCCTTTTCTTTCCTTAAATACTGTGAAACACACCACAATTCATCTTGTAAACAAGGAGATTCAGCCAGACTACCTGTGAGCTGCCTTGGAACTCGCCAGATGAGGAATCGCAATCAGCGGAGGCGGTACGCCCATTCAAACGGCGGTTGGGTGAGGCACCAGTGATAGTGGATTGTCTAAAAAGTGTACACGTACGACGCGAATCGTGGGAGGACCAGATTTGACTCTGTGACTGAGAGTTCGAGGAGTTCGCCAGGCTACCTGTGGTGAACCAACAATGTTTGTTTAGCGGTGCACAAATTAACTAAGCCCATGCAAGCGTGTAAGAGGTAGTACTAGTTCAGAATTAAAGTCGAAAACATTCTTCTTCACGATCAGTAGATACGAGAACATTGACGATAAATGGCGGCTGTAGGGGCTTCAACGAATGTCAAGACACCATTTTGTTGAATTTCAAGGTAAAAAGAAGCATGTTAGCCAGAAAAGGGAAAAAATGCTATTGACTTCCGGAGCAGAAGGGGGAAGAACTCGGCTAGACTCAAAAACGAATTTCACAAGAGACATTTATTACGGGTAGGTACTTTTAGTGACGGTGCCTTTGCTTTAAAGAAATAAGTCAATAAATGACATTGTACTCATGCTTGAGTGTTTCCAATCTTGATACATGCCACTAAGGAAAGTAGATTCAGAACCTCATCGTCCCATGGTTAGTTCGTAGCAAGAGTTAAATCTTTTCTGAGAACCGAAATAGGATTACACAGAACGATGGAATGAGGTCGTAAACTTTAAAAGTTGTGCAACACAAACACCTCCTGAAGAAGGGATCAAAAT